CAGGACAGCAAGCACAACACCCGAACCGAACATCCATCGAAGAAGTCAAATCCACCTTCCACTACCACGATCCACACATGGCAAAAAGTATAACAAAAAGGATTCAAATCAAGCCGCGTATCTGATACAACCCAACAATGATCATCGATAATCCAACAAACCCAACCACATCCCTACCTACCTATCTGAAACACGACAAAAGGCAGAGCAGATACTTACCCGTCCCGGGATGAGGAAAGGGATTATGGGCCCGTTTGGGTGTACGTCATCATATACATACATGTTGTAGATCATTTTTTGAGTCAGTTGATGGAGTATTTCGATACAGTCGGTAGTTAGAAAATGAGATTTATCGAGATATTTAATATAATTAATCGATTGCTTATTTTAGGAAAGTGGATAATATATCGATAACAGATAATAGATCATAGATAAATATAACAATGAACCACAGAGCAGATAGAAGAAGAACAAGAAAGCGAAGCAGAAACGTACCTACAGATAGATACTTCCTACATCCTGCACAGTAACGGTGGTACTGCAGCGGCAACATCCCAGCTGCCCTGTCCTTCATGCTATGCTACCTTAGCATGAAGGACAGGCAGACAGATGGGCGCAGGTAGTATTGTATCAGTAGTGGCAAGTTATGCTATGCTATGCTATGCTATATGGTATGTGTGTGTGTGAATCAAGCAAGTATGCGTGGTCGTATGCATGTATGTCCGCGAGTAACGTGAAGCAAGGAACCTACTGGGACATATCTATCAGTATCTGCTATCTGTTTCAATGTCTCAGGTGAAGTAGTAGCGGTTGCGGTTGCATCATCACATCATACATACGTGTATATATATATATCCCTGTTGGAGAGATGGTAGACTACCGTATATAGTATCTATCTACATATATTGATTCAATAGAAATACTATACTATGGTATATTATATTGTAGAGTATAGTTAGCGTATCTGCAAGACACATAAAATAAACAAGGTTGTTGTACATAGTATGTATCTAATCATGACTTCACGATGACACGGCCCGCTAACCACAAACTAATTAGTTCAACTCTACAGTACTCCGTAGTTGTGGATAAGTAATCTCAGTTACTGACCGTGACCCTTGGGTCATTGGAACTTGGTTAAGGATGTGGGTAGTAGATGTGCACAGAATTTCTGTCGGCTTGAGCCGCGCAGCTTACTCCGTTAATCTTCTTCTGTTCAGTACAGTATTGTCTACTGTCTATGGAGGCATTGAAGAATCCACCTAGAAAAAGTTGTCGTAATCATGCCAGTTCAGCATCGATAAAAGACCCACCGCAACAGGCGGCACCTTACTTTAGGGATTCTACCAATCGGGAAAGGGATGCCTCACGTGTTCGGTTTCAAGGGTTCAATTCCGTCCAGTTCAAGGTCGGGTCAAGTGGGATGCCGTAAGCCGGGTCCTTAGTTAACGTAATCAACGGTCGAACGGGCCACACGGTCAGGCGGGCCATCCTGAAATCCCATATAAAAGATGTCTTTTTGATTCTATTATATATCAACCAGTACTACTTCTATGAAGCTCTAACTTTGTAGATAGTTTATATATATAAGAATAAGTATTCCATGAATTTTTCAGATTTTTAGAATTTTTACTTTGATAATGAAACCAGATTCTTATATAATACATATAAATACAGATATTGTAATATGATAAGTCCATAAGTAAAAGTATATTCATTTTTAGAAGGTATATAGATATTATTTATATTATTTAAAATCTATATAGAAGAAATCTAATTCTTCTAGACCTGGATGGTAGAGATATATTATGTTTAAAAAGATATCTTTTGTATAGTATTACCAGATGGCCCGCCTGACCGTGTGGCCCGTCCGACCGTTGATTACGTTAGTTAGTCATCTGCATAGTGCTGCGTAATCAAACCAAGAACTGATCTCTGGAATTGCAATTTCATGTCTAAGAGGACTATGCCCCTTCTTACCTGGTGTGAGTTGCTAATATTAGCCAACCCCATCTTTTATATCTAAAGCACATTGAGAAGAACAATCAAACCATGGTCACGAGAAATCTCTCTGTAGATAGAATGTCCTCAAAAACAAGAGATGAGATCGTCCAGGGTCTCGACCACCGATGGAATGGAACACAAACCCGAGAACGACTGGAAGGGGTTGTGACTTTCTCTCAATCTACCACTTACTAAACTCAGAAAGAATAGGGAAAAAAGGAAAAAGCCACACAACACCGGATGAGGTATCCACGCCAAGCCCCCTGGCCAGGGTCTAGGACGGTTGTGTTGCCTGTTGACACCTTGGACAACCACAGAAACGGGTTTAGGGCCATGGGTCTGGAAGCTCCCTCTAGCCAGATCTTGTCTCATGCCAAGACGGACGCTTGCGCGTCTCCGCCACCCATCGTCCTTTTTAGGAAGGATGCCGTAATCCTGTAACGCCGACTGGTTTTATCTCCGTTGGTTACTTTCCGCTTTGAGTTGGGAGGAAGAAATGCGGGTACTCGACGCCGTCGGGTCCCGGGGTCTCTTTTTTCTCTTTCTGTTGTTTGAACAGCTCTCTCGGTATAATTGTAGTCAATTCCAGGTGTCAATCAGCGCCGCTATTCTATTCATCGACTGAAATCAATGGTGTAGGGGTCTCTTGATGTGTTATATGCATAAAATGATTGGCCTAGGGATTTCCTTTTTGGGAGGGAAAAATAAATGACGGTGGAAATGAATTGGCGATTTGTGGTACATGAGAACTGTCAGAGTGGGGATTCACATTCATCAGGGTGCAGATGCCGCGTGTGCTTCTAATGCTAAGAAGATAGGGCGCTGGACAGGTCGTCTTATATGTACAGAAAAGGCGTTTATGCGTACGGACTGCTGAGGAGTTGCTTCAAGGGTGTCGTGCGCATACGGGCGTGATTGTCTTCTGATCGCTGTGTCTATCATGGAGTCGTCCTCCAATTGAAACATATAGAAGTCTGCCGTGCAAGGCGCAATTGAACCCTGATCAAGGTTGGCTCTTATAAGTCATCAAGATCACCATGATCATCGCCGGCCATACGACGGCTGAAGTCTGTTCCGGCTAGGGTTTGGGTTGCTCTTCTTATAGGAGGACTCATTTTTAATGACCCTCAGATCCTTCGAGGCCACGACGTGCCCAACATATAGTTCGACGCCGGCATACGGTGCTGACCCCCCAATTGCTTCTATGGCAGCTCTCCGAGTAATTTAGCTGCCAAATAGTGCAGTTCTTAGCCTTACAAGACTATCAAACTCCCTTTTATTTGCCCAATCCCTTCGTCCACCAGAGAATTGGTTCCCAAATTCGGGCAGGACTTCATCCGTGATTCGTCAGCTGAGGGGAATTGTTGAAGTGGGTTAAAAATCCAAGCAATGAGTCGTATACTCGTAAGGCTACGGGCCATGCCGCTCTGCCAAATTGCCCCTTTTGGTAGAATTATTGGATTGTTGTGCTCGAGTAGCTGTTGGAGATGTAAAAATTTCTCTTGTTGTGGAGGAAGAGCTCCTTAAAATTCTGTTGATGGTGTGCCTACTGCCTAGTATCGACCATTGAAGTGGACACGGCGTGCACGGAGCACGGTCGTTGCGCATGGTAGCGTACGATGGTGACATTTTTAGTCCGTTGGTCAGAGAGCCGCGTAAGACAGGCAGGCTGACGTCGAAAGAGATCCCCATGGCGCGGACCCAGAGCGCGGAAGATTGCGCTCGACAGTTACCCGATCGGGAGATGCAAATCTTCTGTATAGCGGAACAGGACCTCCACGGGGAGGGTGTGACCAGAAAGATGATGAAGCTCTGAGGATCATAGTGAAATTTGTGCAAGGCTTGCGTAGACGAGGTTGAGGGGAAGAGCCAGTCCCAATGTCAGATCACGACGTGCAACCCACGCGGACATGGCCAAGCTTTTTGAGGGATTCATCAGCAGGCGTGTCTCCTCTCTGTAGGGCCTAGGAAGAAAGTGGAGATAGAGTAAGAGGGTGGAAAAAAAACACATAGTCTAATTTCTATCTACCAGTGGTCCATACTAGTATAGTGATAGTGCTATTGGACGCTGTATGGAGTCGTGTTGATGGAGTTGGTGTTGTTATTGTTGTTGTTGCTACCAGTAGTAGAAGCAGACAGCCACACCGTTGTTAGCATTGAAGAGGTCACGATGGACAGGGAGAATTGGCATCGGGTTCGAGAAGTGGAGCCTGAAGTTCAGAGATATCGACCTAATCGGATCGCTACAAGGAGGGATTGACAAAGAAG